ATTTAGTGCACCTAAAATAATCAAAATTACTCTTTTCATTTACAGGTACTTTAAGAGCAGGAAAAGTACGTAATCTCAGGCAGAGATTAACAAGCAGCATATAGCAGTGAGTTGAACGGATCAGTAAAATCATTACTATTCTCCTTCCCTGCCTTAGAGCTCCCCCCTTGCCCCACTTGCAGATTTGTCAGCACTGTACACTTTAAATATCCCATAGGGAAAAGACCTGTTCCATGATTATGTGACACCTACTTTACAAGCCCCACTTATGCTATCTGTTCTTTTTCTGCGTAACCTTTTTTTTCTGTCTTCTGTTAGAAAAATCATTTGTGGTCTATACTTAAGAAGGAATTATGTGCTCTTGGGTAAAATCACCCCTCCTTAATCCCTTTTAAATTGTCCCATACAGATAGGCTAGGTGCAGAATGAGACCACTTACCAACCTGAAGGTAAGTGCGGGGCTGTTTCACAACTTGTATTCAACAGAGCTCCTAATTATGGGCTTAGGGCCACATTACATGTCCAGACTTAAAACCATTTAGACACTGAGCTTAGCTTAGGACTTTGACAGACATTACCCTTAAGATGATGGCTTGGTTAGCAGTGACCTGGCCACAAGTTAATTCAATTAATGGCGTGATAAAAGGAGGAATAAGCCACAAAACAGATGCATTAACTTTGTGGCACCTTTAATTGAATGTGTGGCCAGCACTCCCAGCCTTTGGAGCTCACTGGAGCTTTTCAAGACTCCCATGCACTCTGCAGCTGGGACCCCACATCAGCTAAGAGGAGCTCCCAGCCCTGAGAGAGCAGCACCAAGTGCTCCTGCATGGGAGACTCTAATCAGCTGATGGGGCTCCCAGCTCGGGGAGTGCCGGGAGCCAAGCCTGCTACTTGTTGGCACTTCGGCGACTTGGAACGATGGGAACTGATGCTGGATCCCACAGTCATGCTACCTGCCACGCATGTGTAGCATGGCAGGAAGAGCAGTTGTTGGGATCCTGCATCAGATCCCTTTAAATTAACATCTGTCTGGGGCCTTAATAACACAGAAGGTAGAGTGTCCCTCTGCAAACCCATTCTGCAGCCACCCACACTGCAAGCAGCTGTTCTTCACTGCAGGTTAGCTTTATTGATAAGGAACAAGAAAAAGAGCATCCCTGCTTCCCACATAACCTGCCCAGCCTTCTTCTAGCCTGTAGTCACATGCTTTGGGAATCATGCGTGCGGAAAACTGTGCACTTGTGTCTGGATATTTGCTAAACTTTGCATGTATAAATACTTCTAGTCCATGCTAGGATGTTCCTTTTGTAAAATGGATACTCAAGGGTCAGTGACTTGGTGTGACATTTCATTCCTTACGATGAGGCCAGTAGCTTTCTACTTTTTCAGGCTAGCCCTTAAGTGGTCTTCCAAATGTGGCAGAGAAATGGAGAAACACAGGGGTGTTGAATGACTTTGTGATTTTAATGCACATTTGTGCCATACAAAAAAACCTAACCTTCTTTTGTTTTATGCAGGTGCTTGTTAGTGAGGACTCTGATAGCGATGGTATAGTGGCCCACTTCCCGGCACATGAAAAGCCCATTTGCTGCATGGCTTTTAACCCCAGTGGTAAGTTCTTCTGCCATATTTAATTTTATAGCATATAGTATGTAAAGAAAACAAGAAATGCAGTGTATGTTCTGTTTCTTTGGGGCTGTGAAAAATTACCACCATTCTTTACAAGTCTATTGTGGGACATGCAAAGACTTGGAAAACATTGATGTCTGTCTCATTTGGTTGAGCATTGCATGCCAATTGTCAGAGACTGCTTTTGTCTTTTCTGGGAATTTCAGCTTTAGGCCAGCTATACTGTTTTGTGGTGTGCGTATACAAAGAAACCTTGACCACTACCTAAAAATACATATAACTGAAATATTGAAAGGAATTATTTTGTTAGTTAAGTCCATCAGATCTACTGGAAATTAAGGACCAAAACTTCCCTGAAAGGGTTCTTCTTCCTAAAATTGGGAATAAGATGGGCCATTTCAAATGAAATCTTTCCTCTGAAGGTAATATATGGTGCCACAAATGCTTTGTGGATCTGTAACTCAAGGTTCTGCTCTTTTCCTTTTAAGTGGTATGAACCACAATCTGAAAATATTTTAAAAACCTCAAAGAAAGTACCTTTTCCCCTCCTTCCTCTTTGCAGACGAAGAATGATTATGGGCAGGTGAGATGCATCCTGTTAATCTTATTCAGTTGACAAGGAAACCATGTTTATTAGTCTTCTCAAGACACAGAAATAACTTTTTGATTGACTGCATAGTAGTCATTGAAAGGGCTGGGGAATTAACGGTTTCCCATTCTCTAAATTAACGAGTTCTAAAATGTAGTAAAATACTCTGCAGATTCATAGATGCTAGGGTCGGAAGGGACCTCAACAGATCGAGTCAAAGTTGTTGGAGATGAAGTCACGTTTCAGGGAGCTAAAACTGAATAGATGTCATGTATATCTTCACTTGCAGTGACTGGTTGGACTCATTTTGACATCCCATCTGTTATGTCAGAACTCTTTAACAGTAGTATGCGGTTCAAAGCTTCCTTACCATTAGTGCTTTTGACGTTTAAAAAAAAAAAATCTTATTTCATAATTCAAGGATTTTGTTCTGTAACTGTGAACATTAAGGTTAGAACATACTTTTTGGATTCTAAAAAGGTAATGTTTCTGTGCAGGGTGGCTAATCTTTGTTTTGTAGAAATCATAATACATACCATCCGCATGGTTTTGAGAGACTGAACTAAGTAGCACTCCTTATTGTGTAACACTTTATGAACACTAATTACATGCTTTTGAAAGGGTCTCTTTTTATTGTGTACATTTGCAAAAAGCAAAATGCTTATGGAAAAACAAACGAGCACGACAGAAATCTTGTGTATCTCTTGAAAGAGAGATTTGCATATGCATGGAAAATCCTGCTTGCAGGCTGGCTCTCTTTCTGCTTGCCCTTATTGTGAAATCACAGTCCTTTTTCTGATGTACAATAGATGTTTACCATAGATCTGATAGCCGAACAAAATGCCCTGCAAGAAAACACTGTTTTCTAAACATTGTGATTTGCTGACAGCTTGCAAATGCTGCATGTCATGAAACACTTGCAGAAATGGATAACTCCTAGGAAGGTGTTAAATCATGCTGTCTACCTTATTTTTTTTTCTATCAAAATGTCAAAATAGTTTTTAAAGTATTGTTTTGGCTCTGGACAAAATGAAATCTGCACCTCAACTGGATTCTTTCTTAGTAATATCCAGGTGGATTTGCTTGATGGCAGCACTGCAAGTGACATCATCCTAATTCATTGCAAACTGGCGTGTTGCCATTCAGGTTGATTTCATTGCAAAGCATAATGAAAACAGGAGGTGGCTTCTGCTGTCAGGTTCTCCGACTGTTATGCAGCCCTGAGGCACTGTTTTCTCAGGGTCTAACACGATGTTACAGAAACCTCATAGCAGTCTATAAAGACTTTCACTAATCACTGCAATCAATAGGTGCTGCTGCTCTTTGCGTGTAGATTCATGGATAATCAAATAGCCAGATATTCATCATGTCGTTATACCAAAGCACCCACGAAAATAATCTTTACAGATACTGAATTTTGGGAGGGGGGAAAAATGCATGCACTGTGGTTCCCAGACACAAAATAATTTCGCAACTCTTCTAAACGAGTGCTTTATAAATACACTTATAATGAACCAAACATGAAAGTTATATGCAAATATTTTTATGTTGAATTCACGTAGTTTTATGTAACACACTAATTCTTAATTTCAGCAGCTAAGAACCAGACTGCATTCTATATCAGAGAAGGGGTTGGCAACATTTTTGGGCAGGGTACCAAAAATCCCTGCACCCTTGACTTATAAGACGGTGTGCCAGAGGTGGACAGCGGGGGAGCCAGAAGGGACCTGATCCTTGTTCTGGCAGTGTAGCCACAGCCCCTTCCCTCCATCTGCCCCGAGGTGCGCGTTTCAAGCAAAATGCCTTTGCGTGCCACTCGGGCACCCCATGCTAGGGATCGCCAACGTGTACTAGAGCAGTAGAATGGATTTGTGCACGATAAAGATACCAACTTTAAAGATTTTCTCAGTATTAAACAATCAAGTAGTTTGTGATGATGATTAACCATAGGTGGTGATGATGAAACGACGCAATGGGACTTAGGGATGTCACACTCCAAAAGTAACTGTTAGCATAAGCTCAGCTTCAGTTTAGGACAAAGACCATCAATAAGCCCTAGAAAGAAGGGGTTGGGAGAAGGAACTGTTGATGTTGGTGTCATATGTTATCTTATCCTTTTTCCATTCTTAGACTTAGAAAGCAAATCCCTTGCTGTATCATTAGTTCCCCAGGTCTGTTAATTTTACTGCGGATCAGATCCCAAGCCCAGTGAAAACACTGGACAGACTGAGGGCATGTTTTCTCAGCAGGGTAAGTTAGACCAGGCAGGATGCCGTGCTAATGTGGCAAAGCTGTTTCTGGTACGTGAGCCAGCTTGTTCAGATCTAGTGCGGGTATCTCTACGTGGTACTGCGTTGCAGTGTGTAGCAATAGCCTTCTTTGACTTCTGTGGGCTGTGGATGAGACTCCTGAATGGTCTTTGTCAGCATGGTTTTCTTCTTTTTATTTGAGGAAAATCTATATAGCCATTTTTTTCCATTTTTTTTTCATTAGGACAAGATGAAAAATTATGCTCTTCACATTCTTAAAAATGTTGCTCTTTTTCATGTAGGTCAGTTGCATACAGAAACTTGGCATATAGCTAGCATACATTTTGGATGAGGCACATGGCCAAGTTAAAAAAAAAAAATCAGTATAATAATAAAAAAAACCCCCAAGTAATTGAAATATCACTTCTAAGCATGCTTGGTTGGGCAGCTTTAGATTATTAAGAGTCCAGACAATCCCAGTATACATCTTTCTGGCCCATCCAGACACCAGAAGGTTGCTCCTAGGGCAGTGGATGTTAAGGGAATTGTACATATCTCAATCTAAAACAAGCAGCAAATCCCACTTTAAAAATTGACTTGATAATAGATTGAAGAAAATCACAGGGAAAGAAAATTGCGGATCCTGGTAATTTAGGTTTTCTCTGCTTTTTTTTTTTTGCTGTGTTCAGCAAATCCTAAGCTTTCATTTAAAAAAAAAAGTTGCAAATTGTTTACTATGTGGGTTTTTCCGCACAACAGCTGGACACCCTATGAACCAGGGGCTTCATCCAGAAAACCCCCAAATCTGCTGGAATTTACCAGAAGCCAGTGCCATCCACATAGTTATGCCTCTTGGTTTTACATTTTTAAGATTAATAGATATGTAGCAATTCAGTAAAAGTAAAAAAAAGAGAGACTGGGTACCCTTTACCTATTTGATTGCTTTTTCATCTTTGGAAATAATTGGTAGATGGCATCAAGACATGCTAAATCCAGCAGATCAGTATAGTTATTTTCTTTGGTGGGAACGCGATAATAAAAAAAAGAAAAAGACGATTCGAGCCTAACACATCTGTTCTCTTTTCCAATTAAATTGTCAGCTTAAGTTCCACCATTGGTGCCAGTATTTCTTTGCGTTGGCCAGGAGAGAAATTTCTTCTGCAGTAATCTTGTAATATTTTTGGAAGAGGATTTAGTGAAAATGATTCCAGGACTGGGCTAGTGTGGCGCAAGTGCTAAGGCACATGACTGGCAGCCCAGGGGTCTCATGTTGGAGGCCGTAGCAGAAGCGCTTGTGGTGCAGCCCTGTCGGATTGCAGAGAATCTGTGAATTCTGCTAAATACCTTGTCACGAAAAAGAAAAAGGACACAAAAAAGAAAGGATTCCAGGACTCACATTCAGGTACATTGGGATCCCGCTGTGTGCTTATTTATTAATAAAAGGCTATTAACAATTTATAGCTTGCCCTGAGTATTGCACATCTTTATTTTATATAGAGAAGTAACACATCTCTATGTAAATTTGACCAAATTTACAGTTACAAATCCTACTGATTTTTAGACCTAGTGCCAAATGTGTTGCTTGATGCTTTTGAGACAAAGATGAAGGTGTAAGGTCCCACCCTTCCACGTCTCTCTTTAGACATCAGATTTGAATCAGTAAGTGCTGTTACAATACTCCTACAGCTGTTCTACAGGGGCCAGGGCCACAGTCTAGATGTTGCCTGTTAAGCATGAAATAGAGAGGAGCATGGCGTGTGGGCACTTCTTTCATGCTGCTGACTCCTCCATAGCACCTACGCTTTTGTGATATATGCAGGCACGTGTGCAGGGGAGGAGCTGGGTTGCATGGTTGACCAGTTTGGTTTTGTTGTAAACGAAGGCTCTAGCTGTTCCGGTTGCTGAGAGACTTGATTCACAAAGCCAAAGATGCAGTGCTGTCTGGTTGTGCTTACCGAGGCTGAAACAAGGAGCTTTGAAAAGCATGAACTGTCCAATTAATTTCAGCGTGTGTTAACTCACTCCGAAGATGTACGTGGAGCACCGTGAGCGACAGCTCATTGTGGTTTCTGAATTTAGTGGATTTGGGAGAGACCTCGTTCCACTCAGTCGGGAAGGTCGAGAGCCCTGGAGACTAGCGGTGC